ACCAGAAAGGAACAACATTCCATTCAAACTGTCCATTTGGGCAACTGAATGTTGTTAACTTTCTGCTTTCTTCTTTCAGAGGGACTTGCCAGAATCCACTCTTACAGTCGAACGTACTAAACCATTTCATATTTTTAATTAAATGAAATAATTCTTCTTTCTTAGGTAAAAAAATACCCATCCATTTTTGTATTATCATTTAAATTTTTATAGTTAATAACCATACGTCTTTTTTATTTTCGTTTTTCAGCTTCATTTTCTACTAGAAAAGCTGGACTACTATGTGGAGATTTATTAGGTCGAATTAAATTCATTTTTATTAATTCTTCAATCTGTATGTTAAACTCTTCTTTATCTCGAGGAGTATAACACATTGGTTTGACTCTTATAACCTTTAAAGGGTCAATTAATTTTATTTCAGCATGTAAAGCTGGGTTTTTTATGCTTTTATTAAGCATTTTATCTAACGGATTTTCACTCGTTGTTTTATTTAATGCTTTTTGACAGTCTTCTAAAGACAACATATAAAGCATTTGATGTTTATATATTAAGGTATCCATTATTCTTTTACATTGCATGGTTCGAATAAGAACTCTTTCTGGATTTTTAGTTTCATTTGTTACTGCAATGTTTTTCTTTTTTATTCCAGTACCCTCACCACGTTTTCGTAGTTTGGAGTTATTTGTCATAAATTCTTTAGATGCAAAGCTTTAAGCTTTCTGCACTATTGTTATATAAACTGGTACTTCATTTAAGTGTAATAGTATATACTTTAATTCTTGGACAAATGGTCAGTATAATTTTAAGAAGTTATTACATATTAAAAGGTCTACTCCCGTATCTTGTTGGTATATAGTAGGAACTATAAATTTTTCTCCTGCTATTAAAAATGTGACATTATAAGCCACTTTTTCTAAAGTAATTACTTGTTTATTTGCAACTCGTGCAGTAATTTTTTGTTTAGCATTTTCCCATTTTTCAATGAGTTATACAAAAGGATGTGCAGCACAAATGATTGCAGACTGTATCTATATATCCATGAAGATGATATAGTTTATACCCAGTGAATTTAAAACCCACCTTGATATAGGTACTATTAGGGTTAGTTATATTTAACAATTGTTCCATTCTTCAGAACTATCATCAGTGCAACTTTCTCATTCAGAGTTTGGTTTGGAATAGAATTGTTTATATTCTATTTCAAATTTTAATTCATATTCTGAATCATTAGACTCATTTTCAGATTCAATTGGTTCAAAGTTGAATTTTTGCATTGCATAAAGCATTTTAACTTTATCTTTACTTTCTTTTCTTTTAGGACATTCATTTGCATAATGACCTTCTTCTTGACATAACCAACATTTATAGTTAGTTTTCCCTTTGGGCAATATTTTTCTTTTCTTTCAATTCTTCTTCTATATCTGAGTTTGTTCATTTTATAATTCTCTTTTTTGTATTTCCTATATTTAGGAATGTACCTTTTATACTTTTTAAACTTCTGGTATTTTAATTTCCTAGAATGCCTATCTTTTTTAGTTCTACCTCCCCATTTATTAGGTATTTCTAATAATTGAGGATCACAACATGGTTTGTTTTGATAGTATACAAGAGTCCCTCTTAATTGAGTATCTTTACATCTATCTTCTATGGTTTCTTTAAGAAGATTTACTCTTCCTGCAAAACCTTCTGTAATATGATCAGGTTTATTAGACCATTTTTTGTTCATTTCAAAAGCCCACAATGGTGGCAATTTATCGAAGTATTTTTCAGCATATGCTGGTCTATCTTCTTGTTTTAACAAGTAATATCATTTTTCATATTCACATGTAAAATTTTTCCAATAACAAATATCACATATTTGAATATTGTCAAGTATGAACTTTGTTTTTTTCTGTCTTTCTTCTAACACTACATTTGTATTATTTAATTCTCTGACTCCTACAAATTCATTAACAAGTAGTTTAGCCAAAGCATTTAGAGATTCTATGTTATCTTCTGGTTTATCCCAAAGAGCATCAAGACTTGGAATATATGGGTTTGAATCCCACCAGTTTCTAACATTTCCCTTCATATGAAGTTCTAAATATATTTTTAATGTTCTTAGATCTTCAAATGCTTCTCTATTAGTTTGTATTACTACTATCATATAATTATACCAACCTTCTATTGTTTCAACTGGTTTTGTCAAACAATCTAGATTGAGTATGTTATCACTATGATTATTAGAATTATCTTTAGGAATAAATTCCTTCGGAATATAATTCTTTGTTTTATTTTCTGGTAAGGTTTTGCCTTACTTCGATTCATATTCATCATTCCTGGAATATTTATTTCTGGGAATGTTTTTTCTTCATCAGATACTCCAAAGTACCTATCTGCATTTGGATTATAAAACTTATCGTTTGTGTATTCTTCAGGAGTCATATACTCATGAGTGTCTTGATAATTGCTTGGTCCTGGAGGAATATCCTTAAGATCTTCAATTTTAACATTTATACGATTTTTTTGTTCTAGATTTTCACTTTCTGAACTAGAGTCACTGTAATTTCCAACGAATTCTTTTAAGGATAATATATTCTGATATTTGTCTAATAGAGACTGAATATCAGTTTCACTTTGAGTAGAATCAGTATCACTGTTCATTTTTCTCCAGGTAATCTTTTTCTCTCGTTTTTAAACAGATTACTAAGATCTCATTCATTTGGTGGTCTATATGTTGGTATAGACTTCTTTTCTTTAATATTTCTTAAAACTCTTTCTACCTCTAATAATTTAGTTTCTTGATTATTCGAATCAGACTGTTGTATATTTTGCTCTATTCTTAGAACTTCTTTTATTTCACTAACTATAGTTAGTATTTGTTGTACATTTCCTACTTCATGATTTTTAGCCATTTAATCCTAATTCCTTTCCAATTTGATTTACAAGTAAAATTACTTTGCTTAGATTTTCCACTAATGGTTCAATTTGTGGAATTTTTTCGTCTAATTTTATTAAGGTTTCTTCTAACCTATTTTATTTATTTTGTTAATATTTTCAATAATTTTGTTAGCTTTTGCTGCGATATCAAGAATTTCTGATAGTAGAGTATCAAGAAATTCGATATTTCTACTCGTTTTTTCAAGTCTTTCAAGAATTAATTCTTGATTATTTCGAATTTTTTCAATATTTTCCCAAAGAGGAGTATTATTTGATCTATTCATTTTTTTTTTTAGGGTTTTTAGAATTTTTTCTCTTAAAATAGGTCTTAAGGGTATAATTGTCTTTTTTCTGGTTTTTATGAATTTTTGAATTATGTTTTATTTAGGCTTTTGGTCAAGGGTTATTTGAACAATTTTGTTTTTGGGGAAGGTCATTTGGACCAATTTCCTCCGAGTTCTCAGCCCAGTAAGAGCATCTCCAATGGTACATGGATTGCTCTCTTCCATTGCTACATAGCTTCTAAAATCCAATGTGGCACTCAATAATTCTAGAAGTCTTTCTAGATGTAGAAAGACTTCTAGACATCTTCCATTTTATATTATATTATTTATTTTATATTTATATTTCTACCAACCAATTATTATATTACAAGTGTCAATTTATCCCACAATTGAGATTAAAGACAAAATAATTTGTATTAAAACTCTTGAGGGAGAGCTTTGCCGCTCTTGTGGTCCTACCCGGCTCGATTCCGAATTAATCGGTTCCCTTGTGGATCCGAAAACCGAAAGGTCCCTGTAAAAA